GCAACTGAAGTCACACTCTGGAAGCTGGCTGAAAAAAACCACTCCCTTTATTCGAAAAAGTAACTCGGCTACCATCCTATCAACACATTCCCTGAAATACCTTCAGAGAGGATGTACACCCAGAACAATTAATAGGCTTTCAAGCACAATTGATGAACAAAATCTTTGAGGTTCCTCACTGTCTCATCTCTTCCACAACAGAATAAAAAATCAAGAAATCCTTGACTTGATCCAGTAGAGTCACCACATCAGGATATTTAAATGCTCAAACCTGTAAGATGTTGCAAGTCAACTCAAGCTACTGCAACTTACAATCAAAATTAACCCACAAAGCTTAAAAAAATCACCTTCTAGATATAAGACACCATCTGTAACTACTGAGATCTTTGGTTGGGAGCTGATGACACATGCTTTTGTCACCTAAACCATGGCAACTGAGGTTCAAAGCCTGGATTCTAGGCATCTAGACATCTAGAAGTGTACATTTCCTTCACACAGATAGCTCATTTCTCAAACCCCTGGTTTCCTCACCATAAGAAATCAGGATATGAAGAACCTCCTTAGTTAGTTAAAGGTGATGCTAAATTTTCAAAAAGAGAGAAACAGCTGGAATGAATGACATTCATTGAAATGCCACCAATACAGGGCATCAAGCAGCAAGAGATCAGAAATTATTCATATACAAAGGCCAAAGAAAAAGCTACACAGGCAACTATTTAAAAATGGCTTTCATCTAGCCAGAAGACACTGGAGAGATGCATAAAGTCAAATTTACTTGGAAAGCCAGATTATGAATATACTAGATGCCATCATTATGGTTTCTTGAGCAGATTTTCAAATGGCACAGGCAATTCTTTAAGAAACACAGAGATACAGAAAAGAAGAAATACACTGTGTGATTTCAAAGCAGTGCAAAGTGTTTCTACAATCTGCCAACTAGACAAGTTAAGAAGGCCAAAGTCAGCATCAGCATCTGTCTTCCAATTAGAGAGCCACAAATGACATATTGCTCAGTGACAAATGATGACTGCTGTCTTATATTAAGATGGTTGCTTTAGCAGATGTTTTCAAATTATCCCAAGATATGTCACAGGGAAAGGCAAAAGAGCTGGAAATATGCCCAGAGAGACCTGGTGCACCAGCAGCCTAAGGGAGCCATTTAAAAAGCCATTTGGTTGGTATCCTCTCATGAGAGCATAGCTGCAAAAACCGAGAACAGAAAGGAGAATGGAAATAGAAAATATGTTACATTCCTCAGTGAAAGTTTTAAGTATCTGACTACAGGATCATAAAAAAAACTGTGTTCACTTCTTCTAAACTTAGGAAGAGACACAGTCTAGGTGGACAGCTCTTCAAAGAAGAGAAAGGGAAAAAAACCACCAGTGATTCCCCCAGAAAGAATAGTTCCGTATTGCTGCTCTGTAATGACAGAGTTACGGAAAAAAAAAGAAAAAAAAGGCTTTCTATGCTGAACATCTCTAAACAGTAACCCTGATGCCAGTAACCCTGGCATCACATCTCACATGCTGACTGAAAAAAATTAAATTCAGCCCTGGTCCCAGGTGAGAAGAAGTTGACTGCTTTTACTGCTGTGAATCATCTAAAACTCCAAAAGCAGCACAGACAAATAATAGAGAAAAAGGAGATGAACACACTTTCATCTGAAGAGGACTAATGAGTGAGGTTCTGTCAGCTATTACACAGAGTTAGAGACAAGACAGGTCTTCAAAACAAAAATTTGATGGGGAAAACAAGCTATTTCCCAAAGTCCCACTCTAAAATCATATAGGTATAGAAGCACTTAAATATAATGCAAGCAGAAGGGAGGATTAGGGCAGGGAGAAACACAGAAGCTGTGCTCATCCAGCGTAGCACCGTTCTCACTCTGGAAGCATGAGGCAACAGTAAAAGCACACGCCAGGAGGCAAAATAACCACAGAGAGGAAGGTGCCAATGAATGCTGCTACAAGTTAAGGAATGGGTAGGCGTCTGGTCTTGACCTATGGTGAGGGAGAAAATCCTATCTCTCTCTCTCTCTCTCAATCTCTCTCGTTACCATGGAGATCCACTTTTCAGGTTCCTTTGGATGAGCTTTATGCACAAGTGCGAAATTTGGCATAAGAGGAGAACAAGTATTAATTACATGCCTCTGACAAAAATAACTTTCTTAAATCTTGAGAGATAATACAACAGAGGCAGTAAAAATCAAGTTTGGTTACAGAGATTAAGGGCTGAATAAACTATCTCACTTTAAAGTACCTTGAAATCTCATCTACTTAAAACGGCAATGCCAGTCTCAGGGCATTGCATCTGTCTCTTCCAATTTGGGTGAAAATTTTAGTTACTCTATGGTATGAGAACAGGGCGAAGATGACAATGAAAAAATTCCATGGATTCTTCCTCCCATACTACTCTTCTGTGGTGTGGGATTACCTTCATTTATTACACTATCTCATGAATTATTTACACCGTTCTTTTTGTATTTCCAGGTGGAAACATCACTAGCCAGAGCTGCACTGAGATGCACCACCTTTACAGAAAGAACATTGCAAGGCTTAACGCAAACAGATTACATTGATATGCTTCCAAGAGTTAATCCCACAAGATACAGACAGAATGAGCCTTGAATTAAACTATGTAGAGTTCTGGTGAAGTAAAAGAAAACTTTAAATCAGTATGATATACATACACACACACACACACATATATATATATATGTAATGAAACACGACTGCACCCTTTAAAGTACTTGATAAGCTCTCTAATAAACAGCATATTTTGCTCCCATATATTTTCATTATTTCATACTAATTTAAATAGTTGCCTAATTTAAATATGTAATTTAGTTATCCAATATATATAGTTGTCTGAAATGTTCAATATCAGACAGACAAGTAAGCTGTAACAGAAGAAAACGTGGAACGATGTTGTTTCCATTAACTATTCCTAGCTTTCATGTAATCATTATTATCAGCAGTGATTTTATCTTCAACTATATATCCTATCTATCTTTCAATATGCACACTTTAGACTTCTGGATCTCTTGGATCAGTGAACTTAAACTTGCAATGTCTTTTAAGGGAGGGGAAATACTTTAAGCATCTACACTGGACCCACACAGGAGCAGGAATTAGCGTTGCCTTTTTAAAGGTGCATTAACACTGAAATACAATCCAGTACAACATGCTGAGCATACACCATGCCTGCAAGCACACCTACCTTTCCACTTGTAAGTAGGCTATAAGTTAAACAACTTTTTTTTTTTTAATTTAATAGCCAACTTCGTATGCTGTCCACTGCAGTTCTCACGAATTTTGCTTCTCTTACTAGTCTCTCTCTTTTTTTCTTTTTTTTTTTTCCCCTTGACTTTCTGTCTTTAACAGCACATTTAGGTACAAATGTATACAGGTATAGAAAACAACATGAATGAGATGTGATTAACCAAAAATCAATCATGTGTGAAACCAAAGCGCTTAAATATTATTACTTTCTTTTTTTTTTTTTTTTTCTCTCCGAGATCACATAAAACTATCAGCTTCCTTCAGAAACAAGCACGGTGTAGCCGTATCCTTGCCGGCATCCTGAGCCGGGTTTAGTGACAGCAACAAGGAAGGG